GCAGCAGGCAGAGCATCTCCTCCTGGCTTCTCCTTTCTCAAACTCAGTGTCCTTTCTTGGAATGCTGTAAGAAAGGCAGCTGGATTAGTCCAGCTCCACTTTCCAAGTACTTTCTCTGCTTATGAGAGTAAGAAAGAAGAGGACAGACCCTGTAGCAGCATCCATCGAGACAGAATGAGGGGAAGTGACTTCCAACTAAAAGGGAAGATTTTTGTTCAGATACAAGGAAAAAGGTGTTTTTGTTTGTTTTTTGGGTTTTTTTTACAAGAGATACTTGGGATGTCGGAGCATGCAGGATGATTGCTTAATGGATTCTTCAAGAAATTGGTCTTGGCAAAAGAGGAAGCCTTTCTTGTGGTTAACAGCTGGTGTCAAGGTACAGGGCCAAAGCCACAGAGGCGTACCCAGGAGCTGCACACAGTCCCATGGGTGCAGAGCTGTCTGTCAGTGATACAGAATTACCCAGCAAAGGGCAGTGTGGAGCTTCATAGAACTGCAGGAAAAAGGCCCATCTTAAAAAAGAGCAGGCAAATAAAACAACAAAGCCAGTAGATGGGGAATGGTCTTAAACTGAGACAGGGGAGGTTGAGGTTGGATAGTAGGAGGAAGTTTTTCAGCCAGAGGTTGGTGAGGCACTGGCACAGGTTGCCCAAGGAGGCTGTGGATGCCCCATCCCTGCAGGCATTCAAGGCCAGGCTGGATGTGGCTCTGGGCAGCCTGGGCTGCTGGTTGGCGACCTGCACACAGCAGGGGGTTGGAACTGGATGAGCATTGTGGGCCTTTGCAACCCAGGTCAGTCTGTGTTAGATGCACAAGAGGGAGTGTGCCCAGCTCCAGGAGAAGCAATGTTGTTGTGCAAAGAGGAAGGGCGCAGGGGGCCATGACATTCATTACATCTGGTGTTGTCTGCTGCTCCAGCTGATAAGCAGCAGTTAGTTTTCTCAGGCAGTTAAACCACACAGTTATTACAGCAGCTCGTGGGATCACTGCTGTGCTACTCACACTGATTGTGTCAAATTCAGGACAGTCCTAGAGTGCTGGTTTAGAACAGTATAACTTCACATGGAATACCATGGTCATTAATGGCAGCAGCGACTGTGCTGCCTGCTTCCTCATCGCAGCTCTCACCAGGTGCTTGAGGATTTTTACAGCTGCAAAAATCATCTTGGCTCAGCCATCCCAGCTGTAAGGCTAGGCGCTGGGCCTCCAGCAGTGATGCATTCCCTTGCTCCCCTTTCCCCCACGGTTGGGTCCCCAGGTGAGGTGACGGTGGCTGCCTCTCTTCCTCACCCCAGGTACCCGCCCGGGATGGTCAGCGTGGCCCCAGGAGGAATACCAGCAGCCATGGAGGGCATCATGCCCGGGGGCATCCCTGTGACTCACAACCTGCCCACGGTGGCACATCCTTCCCAAGCTCCATCTCCGAACCAGCCCACAAAACACGGCGACAACAGGGAACATCCCAACGAGCAATAGCAGATAATTTTAAACAACACCATCCTTCAATAAACTCGGGACCAAGAGACGTTGGAAAAAAGAAGTTATACACGAACTAAAAACGAATTTGATACGAAATTTGTAACGTTGATTTTTTGGACAGATGCATCATTGATGTTCCAGTGTTACCGACACTGATAGCAGCCAAGACTGGGAAGAAGCCCTGAAGAAGGCACCTGCTCACTGAAGCGCTGAAAACTAAGATGTGATACGTTAAGGATCGAAGTGATCGACCTCTGTTATTGTGTGTTAAGTTTCCTTCATCTGTGCATCAATCCCATGAATAAAAAATCAGATTTTTTTTTCCCCTCCCTTCCTTGGGAAGAACAGGGTGTCTGCACCTGTTTCCAAACAATTGCATTAAGCAATCCTTACCAAGGTAACATAGAAATGGAAGAGGAAACCATGATGTGGCTTCAGCCCTTTCCTTACTCTTGTTACCTCTGACAGGAGGAGGCACCAACACTGGCTTAGCAGCAGAAGAAAAAACCAATGAAATCCTTTGTGCAGCCTCCCGGGGCCGATGAGTGCCAGCAGGGCTCCTGCCAGGCTGGGGGCAGAGGGCTGGGAGGGCAGAGGAACAAGGCAGCAGCTCCTCCCTGCCCAGCTCTCAGTACCGTAGCTGTGCACCCATCTGCGCCCTGCAATGATGCAAGAAAAAAAGAAAAAAAAAAAGAAAAAAAGAAAAAAAAAGAAAGAAGAAAGTATTACGTTTCACACACTATTTGTACTCAAATATATTTTCTCAGTTTTAAATCTGCAGCTATTTTATCAAGTGGAGAAGTCTTGAGCTGGAAAGGGTTCAAGAATAATGTTGCATTTCCTTATGTCTCAGGAAACACTTTTTATGGTAACTTGTCAGACTGTCGATGAACAAAACCCACTTTTTTAGACATGGATAAAAGTCTTCTTTTCTTCACGTGATATTTTATACAAGAACACTTCAAAACGTGTTATTAGACGTGACTGATTTTAACAGATCCTATTAGGTTTGTATCAACTAGTTACATGTTATATTCATAGTCTTTTGTGAATCATCGCCTTTTTGTTTTGAAAACGATGGCCTCTTTCGAGCCTTTGTATGGGTACATTCCTGTTTCTGTGACAAAGAAATCTTAAGCTGTCCCAAACAGAAAAAAAAACAAAAACCAGTGGCTATCAGCAGTATGTTTTGTTTTAGTGTGTTACCGTTACTGTATTTGTTTATTGTAAAGGTGGACATTTAGCGTTCGGTGCAGTTTTCAATAAAAAGTGATAAAATTTCTATAATTTCTGGGAGGTCAGAGCTCTCTGCGTTGTCCCAGCACAGCAGTGAGGCACCGGGAGCAGCACACAGCTCAGTCACTGAGGGGGCACCCGGTGAGGAAAACGGGTTGTGGATGCTAAGGTCTGGGATGGCATTAAAAACAAACCGCTGGGATTTTTGCCTTGGCTTTAAGTTGCATCGTGCAGGGCTGGAAGGGCCTCCCCTGGAAGCAGGCTCACAACACAGCTCCCCCCAGCACCCACCTCCCACTCCAACCAAACCAGGAGTGGCTGCAGATGGAGGCAGGCAGCTTCCAACACTGCTCAGCAGTAGAGATCTCAGTAGAGATGCTGGTTAACGAAAGACGGAAGGAAGCATCCTAGCGCTCAGCGTCACCTCTTCTGCTGGGCTGTGAGCAGCAGCAGCATGGGATGCAAAGATGATACCTGGAAAGAGAAAGGCTGAGATCTGCATGGGCAACATGGAGCAGCACATGGCAACTCGCAGATGGGAGCCAAGGAGTGAGGAGAGCAGAGCTGAAAGCTGCTGCTCCAGATCTGCGCCTGGGACTTCGCTGACAGCCACACTGCTGTGTTCACACTGCAGCACACAGGGAGCTCTGTGCTGCTGAGGGATGGCAGAGTGTGGCAAACACTGTAAATGAAGCCACCAACAGTTAAAAAGGGGTGAAGTTGCTGAGCAAGGAAGCAAGTCTCTAAGTGCACACAAACCTACTTCATTAATAGTGTCAAACCTGTTCCAGTCATACTTGCCATAAGCCATGCAGTGGGACTCTGGAAGAAGCCAGGATTACTGAATTTTAATATATTAAAACCAAAAGGAACACAGGGATTGAGCACTGAGGAGTTCAAATAAAACCAGAAAACCAACCAGGTGTAAAGGAGGCAGCAACGAAAGCTAAGGTCTGAGCCAGGAAAGCGTGTGTTGCTCACAGCAGCAATGAGAAAAACAACACTGAGAACCAAAGTTTGTGTGCGTGGCTGAAGGAGCAGAACTTGCTGATGAGCTGCAAGGTACATCTGCAAATTCATCTCAGTATTTGTAAACTTTCAGGTGTGTAATTCAGGAATATCCATCAACATACACTGAGTACCGTGCTAGCACAAAGCAGGGTTTGCATCTCTTTAATCTACAAGTACATGAGGTTTGGATCACTTTGATTTTGAAAAGATGATACTGCCCCAGTCCCAAAGGGACCCAGGAAGCTCATTCACCTGAACAAACCGTTGTACAGCACATGGGAACAAAACAATAGTGATTAAGAAAGCCAGGAGCTCTGAAGTACCAGGACTGCCCTCACACCACAACTACACACACACCGGGGCGCGCTGCATGCGTGCACAGCTGGCACCGACTGCACGGCGAGCTTCCGCTCCCTGGGGATGCTGCAGGCTGCCCACACCAAGCCAGGGCAGAGAACAGGGCTCAGGGTAGGTTTCACATTAATTATTCTCTCCATGTTACAAGGAAGCATTACTTCCTTCAGCAGAACATTACTGTGAAAATAAGGGGCAGGGGGCACATCGCACAGCCCTCGAAGCAGCTTGAGGGAGGCAGGAGCTTCTCCTTCCATCCGTTCAGTGCTGGTGTGCACAGGGCAGAGCTGCAGGGAGCACACGCTGCTCTCACCTCAGCACACGCTGCCTGCAGCTGCCCGACAGCCCAGCTTTAGCCATCAGCAAGACAAGGGGGAAAAGGGCTTTGCTGCAAGTTAAGAAGAATAAAAAGAATACCAAACTTGGGACGGGGCCGTGTGTGCGTCAAAAAACCTCTTCAGCATCAGCAGCTTGCCTGTCAGTTCAATCATACATACACTGCAGTGAACATGCACTCTTCTACCTGACGTTTTGCACATGCACCAATCAGAGGAGACAGAACGGCCCAAAAATCTGAAGGCATTTCCTAATGAACCTCAGTGGGATCTGCGATGGGAAAATTGCTGTCAATACAGTACTTCGTTCTCTCTGCACTTCTGGTGCCACCACCAAGGTTACGGAGGAGTTGTGCACATTTCAACACCATCTAAGCAGCATTTGGAAGAAAAAAAAGCAGCAAGTTCCTCAGGGTTTCCGCAGCTCTCCCCTACATAAAAATATGTGCTATGGGGCTTCTTTCCAAATCCTAATTGCAACAATTGCATCTACTGCAAAATTCCTTGGAACCACCACAGCATCCCAAGTGCTTTTCGAAACCTGAATTGCACTGCATGTGTAAAAACTGGCATTAACCTTTAGTGTTTACGTGAGCTTTTTAGATAAACTTTATCCATTACAGGTTACATGGCTAAAGTTATCAAATATAATAAAATTTCTACTGGAGAATATACTCTGAACTTACAGTCTTAGGAACTTACATAGGTTTAAGTATGGCCACATCAACCGACATGCAAGAAATTCCCAGGGTTACATACTGAGAAATATATAACACAGTGCTTTTGGAAACAACTTCAGCACAGATTCCTCTGTTTTAATCAGAACTGCTGAGTGGATTCTCACTGGATTGAACGACCCCAGGAGCAACCCTTGAAACAGACGTTTTTTCATTTGCAGCAACGTTTGAGTTGATGAAAGAAGAAATGATGGAGCAGTACAGAGTTTGTATCACAGCAAGAAGGGAGCTCAGACAACGTAAAACTCCCAATCACATCTCGAGTCCTCAGATTCACACAATTCCATTTAGTAGATACGTACTGGAATCAAATCCCTATGCTTCAGGTCACATCTCTGAATAAATATCATTAAGTATATTGAAAGGAATCTAACTATGAAAGGAGGGGGGAAAAAAAAAAAAGCAATAAGACTTTTTCAGGAAACAAATCATTTCACTCCATGAAAAATTTAGTTTCTCTTCCAGTTTGTTCCACAGAGTTCAGGTTTTATTTGTGGGCACGGCAGTAACTGAACTATGAGTAAAATGAACGTGGTTTTGTTTATGACTTGCTGTGGATATCTTGTGCAAACAAAAAAACCTCACCATCTGACCCGGGCACCAGTGAGCTTTGACATGAAAGGGCCTTTCACATGTCAGAGTAGCTAAAGGTGACGTAGAATGCCAGGTTCTACTGTAAAGAATCTCAGAGGGAAGAGAGATCCACCTAACGTGTGCTTTGTAAGTGCCCTTATCTGAAAAATTTCTTTGCAATAATTAAGATGCTGGTATACTTCTCCTATTACACAATCTCTTACACAACCACATGCGGTACATTTATAGACAGATTTACAATCAGAAAGAAAAGTGTTTGTTGGTTTGGTTTTTTTTTTTTTTTTCTGTCTTGATAATAAAATTAGGTGTTTTGTTTCTCTTTTGTTTTATACAAACTGTAGTCCAGCCCATTCAGCGCTCTCCACGCAGCAGATGAGCTTCTAGACTCTCCCCATGCTGGTTAGAACAATCCTTTGCAGCATGTTTCTTCTAGAATTAGGTTGCTCCACAACAAACAGCTACAGCACAACGCTAACTCCAGGTCAGACACTACGTGCTGGTAATTTGCTTTTCCAAATTCACCCATCACTCATCATCATCATCCTCGTCTTCCTCGCCATCAGAAAGGGAAGTACAAGGGCGGATCTGCCGGTAGCGATCGAGCCACTTCTCCACCATCTGGGTGACCAGAGGATGGTTGCGCCTGCGAGAGCTCTTCTGCATGGCCACCAGGACGCCTCCTTCCGTCACACAGCAGTCCAGCCACTCCCGAAGCAGCTTCTCTTGCTGCTCCTCGTTACCTATCTTCAGGGAGAGAGAGAGAACAGGTTGAGAACGAGGCCTGAAACGTTACCAGCAACTTCCTGGAAGTCACCTTCCAATACCTGACAGGAGCACACAGACAGGAGAGGGAATGGCTGTCTACAGGGTGGATAGCAACAGGACAAGGGGGAATGGTTTTCAACTGAGACAGGAGGTTCAGGTTGGATATTAGGAGGTTCAGGTTGGATATTAGGAGGAAGTTTTTCCCCCAGAGGGTGATGAGGCACTGGCACAGATTGCCCAAGGAGGCCGTGGATGCCCCATCCCTGCAGGCATTCAAGGCCAGGCTGGATGTGGCTCTGGGCAGCCTGGGCTGCTGGTTGGCGACCTGCACACAGCAGGGGGTTGGAACCAGATGATCACCATAGCCCTTTTCAACCCAGGCCACTCTGTGATTCTATGACACACTCTCAAATACCCTGTCTGGGGTAGCAATGCAGCTCCCTTCCCAGGCTAACACTATTAGCATCCCACAGTCACTGCCACTCAAACCAATGCACACTGCTTTTTCAACCAAGATGTGAAAGTTTTGGAAGTCTTCTCCAGCTGTTCCTCCCCTTCTGAGTTCTCCAAGCAGGCTCTTCCAACACAGTTTTGCTATATTTCAGTCATTTGTGAGAAACTAGTTCTCCAGAAGGCACCCTGTTTAATTAGGACAGGTCCTACAAGAGCCTTCTGGCTTTACAAAGCAGTTTTTAGGAGTCCAGCAGTATTTGATACAAAACACTTCCTCTTGTAAGACACTGTTGATGTCATGCCTTGCTAAAAAACAAACATCCCTCCCTAAACTTGGAAGGCCGTATTCTTTTCTCCTTTATCTGTAGGATGGCCACTTTTGGGGATGACAAATTATTTTCATCCATTCCCTCCCTTCTCTCACATACAAGCTTTATTATAATAATGACAAGGAGCCACTATAGTTATTGAAGAAGTTGTGTTTCATTCTAAGAAGAGACAGTCCATGCTGTAAATGCTGGCCAATAATTATTGCACCCATAAAAAAATGTCAGTCTGGCACTAGTGTCAGTCTTTATTTGTGGGTCTCTTCAAGGTACACCTGTACCCTGCATGGCGTTTTTACATTCAGCTTACAGACCTACAAATAAACACCAAATACATGGAGAACAACACTTCAGAATCACCTCAGGTGATGAGGAGGGGAGCAGTGTTAACTCATCTGAGCAGCCCATTCCTGGCCATTCTCTGAACTGCAGGAACACGGATGGTGAGGCCACGACTCAGGAGGAGCAGTGAAGAAGGCCAGCAGCTCCTCAGTTAGTTCTTACCTCTTGAGCAGAAAGGAAGTGAATGTGCAATAATTTCCTCTCGCTATCCACCAAGGGTAGAAACGTAACAGTAACGTCGTCGTCAGTGTTCAAGTTAGCACCAGCACCTCGATTGCCATACCCATCGTTCTCCATGGCAACCAGAGCAGAGAAATGGCCCCTCGTGTAGCCCAGAGCAATAGGACTTTTCCAACAAAAACTCTGTTCCCATAACAAAGGCAGATACACACCTACAAACACGGAGAAGAAAGGATGAGACTCAGATCTACAGTCAAGTTCCACGTGCTGCAAAGCTTGTTGGTTTGGTGGCCCTGCTCAGCAGAGCCGATTCACTGTAACTGAGGTGGCACCTGGTCTGGAGCTGCAATGGCACGAGGTGAAGCAGAAGCCATTGCAGCTCCACCAGTGCCACATCACTGCCCCCCTACAGTCTATGCTGTCGTACAGCGATGAACAAAAGCAAGGTTAGGAAAGCAGTCTTACATAGGCTTCTTTTGTGTGTAAAGATTTGTATACAAGATACATGAAGACTCAAATCACAGAAATAAAAGCTACAGTATGTCTATTTTTACCAGAACAAGAACCCTGCATCTGCTTGCAGCCTATTATTAAGAGAACACACTGCATTAAGCATCATTCAGCATCTAAGCATGCAGCCCATTCCAGAGGCAGCCCAACTTCTCATCAACATCGTACAAATAAATGAACCCACAGCAATTATGCATCTGGAGTCTCCAAAATAAACAAGAGCGATAACCAGAACCTGACACTGCTTTGCTCGCTTTTGGAAAAAGGAAGAGAAAAAAAAAATCACTGATGGCACAGGTTCCAAATGGAATTGCAGTTTTTCTCCCTTCCTTTTTTAGCAATAAAGAGAGTAATTTGCTTGAGGAGCAGCAAGTCCCAAAACAAAAGCAGAACCCTTTTCTAGGAAGAAAAAAAAATGGTTCTTGGTGCGTTCTGCTGCAAGACAACTTCAGCAAAAGCAGCCCTTACCTTGTGACAGTTTAAAAATAGCCGTGCATAAACTTAAGTGCACATGTAGCATAGCAACCTTTCATAGTACAGCTGCTGCCAGCAAGTTAGGGACTGACGCTGCAGCAAAACAAGGCACTGGGTTCCTCCTCCAACATCCATGGGCACTGCAGGGCAGCGGTAGCATGGAAACATGAGGCAGGGGGGTGTTTTGGGGGGTTTATTTAAGCTTAATACTCATCTTTTCTACAAGAAAAAATTAGTAAGTTGTCAGCATTTGGCCCTCTCCCAGTTCCTGCATTCTTTAATTGGAAAAAAAAAAAAAAAAAAAAATCAAGAACCTGAAAGAACTGGAACGACTCACAGACAAGAGTCACAACTTTATTACCAAGTCCAGATTCGAGGAGGAATTAGCAATGTCTCAGCTCTGTGTTCATCCCATTCTCCAAGTCTCATACAACTCCCTGCTAAACCCAAAAGACGCAGAACAAGGGCTAAGTGTTAACCAGAGGACATCTGAAGCACCAGCATTTGGGCAAGGAATGCTTATCCCAGCACCCTCAGGGTGAATGCTGATCTCCTCCCCAGGTTGCATCTATCAGACAAACCCACAGCACAGAGCAGGGGCTCACAGCTACCCGGGCAGCACCCACAACATTTCATTTCTCCAACCCCATCTGATAACACTTCAGTCACTTCTTCCCTGTTTAGTTCTGAAAGCTGTATATTTGTGACCAGGAGATGCTTAAGGTCAGGTGAACAGATCTGTTGCTGTCAGAGCCTAAATAATTAAAGAGGCATGAACTGCTGATTGCAATCTAGAGGTGACCAGAAGGCTGTGGGTTATGGGATTCACAGCAAGGTTGCCAGGTCAGAACAAGCAATTCCTGGAGAAGAAGTCTGATCACCAAGGAGGGTTAGGGGCTGGATAGGAAGTTTAGATCAGTGTCCAGCGTGCTACAAACATGCTGTTAAGAAAAGCATTTAAAGAAGTCTTTTCCACCTCTACTGTAAGCCACAGAACTCTTTCTTTTTTTCGGTTAAAGTGATCTTAAACAGACAAGGGCTGTACATTGAGTCAGAACTCTGAGCATGCCTCAAAGCTTCTGAGACAGGAGCACGTGCCAAGCAGAGCTCACAGGCACAGCAGAGTCTTGTACCGCTCACGGGAGACACATCTTGCTGGCCCACTGCTCTGCATGCAAGGGCTGAACAGCCACTGGGTTTCAGCTGTGCTGCTGGCATTTAATTAGCAGACATTAACTACAAAAATGCAGCTGGACAGGGTGAGAAGTGACTGCAGGTAATTTGACACAGGAGTCCTGAGTTCACCTGCTGAGCATCCCTGGTGCAGCTCACAGCAAGCACAGCACTGCTCATCAACATCTGCCTGCATTCCTGGAAGCACACACTTAGCAAGAGGCTGCCCATGCACCTGGGTACCTCCTGGTTCACTGAGCAAAAACATTTCAGTGTGTTCAGGCCTTACACTTGCTTGCCTTAATGCCCAATTACAAAATGAAAACATTTGGCAACCACTCAGCCTTTAAGTCAGAAGCAACTAAAACCCCAGAGGAAGGTGTCCATGTATGACTGACTGTTCTTTCCCAGCCTGTACTTCCATCACCTGAAATGAAACAAAGCTACAAAGAGTAACAGATTTTAAGCTCTCTACTTCCCTACTCCTCGTGCAAGATGTTTTGTCACTGCCCAAAACGTGCAAGCCACACAGCTTCCACAATTCTCTGAAGACTGTAAGCAGTTACAGCGGGTTACACAGTAACTTCACTGCAACTCTTCTTCAGTACGGACTGGCCACCTTCATTTTTGCTTACAAAGAGGCTCTAGATCTGGTTCAGGAAGTTCTCTACGAGGCTCTAAACAACCAAACAACACGTGCAGGTATAGACAGTGCTGGGTAGGAGTCAGGCAGAGACACATGAGCAAGGGAGATGAACCAAAGGAATGCCTTAACACCCTGCCAGTCACACAGCTGCAGGACTGAGCACTTCTTTTCACATCTGTTATGTTTACTGCTGAGCATGTACAGATGCTTCCAATCCCCTCTTACGTTTTTAATCCTGCAAATAGGGAAATGCTGAAGTGTTACCATCTAATATGTTGGTGAGTCACCCAAAAACACTTGACTTCTAAAATAGAATATGGTTCTTAAGGAATCTACACACACCGAGGCAATATAGCACCATGACATTTATCTTGAAGATGGCTAGGCTGTTTGCCTAGAGTGCAAAAGCAGCAAGAATCCAACCCAGATAGCCAAAGCCACAGTACAGAAGCAGGCCAGTATTTACATCACACCCACGTTTCAGTCATTAACACCTCACAGCATCACAGAATGTAAGAACTGCCTTTCAGCTTTATCATGGAATCTCCTTTTGCAGAAAATGATTGGCCTTATCTGTTGACCAACATTTTGTACTCATGTGTAACCAAGTTACCTAATCTTATACCTCACACAACAGAGTGCCAGCAGAGTCCATGTGAAGAGAACTCCTTTTCCAGCTTCTGTGGCACGCATTCAAGCAAGCAGCCACTTCTTTAAGTACTAAAAATCCTCCAATTTATCATTCTCCTCCCTGCTTTACATTTCTGCATCTTCCTTTACACACTGGCTTCGAGGGTAATTCCTCTTCACTTTTGTGAGGGCTGCTTCAATTCACCTGCTGCAGTGCTGCAGAACAAGGCACACCACTCCGTGCTGCAGAAGCAAATCCCACTGCTACTCTGCTGGGAAACCAGGCCAATACAAACAACGCAAACACCTTCAGCCCACCTTTCCACCACGTTTATGAAGCACGCTGTGGAGTCTCCTCCAGGAAATGCTAAGCACCATTTCATTTAAAATGAACATTCATAGCCACTAATAGCACAGACAGGCAGAATTTTAAGCTTGTGTCTTACAGCAGGATGAACCACACGACTTTCAGTTCGTTTCAGACAAATTACAGGCTAAGAGCACACTGAATGGAGGCAAAAATGTTTTCTTTTGAAACTGTGGTTATAGGCAGCATGCCCACCATACACTGAAGAACTGGAAGTTTTGAGTGGTTTGTTCTGTTCTTTTTAACAGCAGAAGAGTTTGCCTACAATGCAACTCCCCCTCCCATCCAGTGGCTGGAGTCATTCTTTCAGTTTCCCCTACGACTTACAGCTGAGCATTAGTTAATACTGAATTTGAAAAAATACAGGCTTACCTTGGAAGCGGGTGTATCCTAACGTTTCTCCTCGGAAACTCTTATAATATTTTACTCCATAAACTATGATTGGTCTTCTAAGAATATGTGCAAGTACAAAAATGTGTGTCTGCTCCAAACTTGCTCCAGGCTGAAACAAAGACAATACAGGCAGTGTTTGAGAAACAACTTATTCTCTCTGCTTTGGAATTTGAAAATTATTCTCCAAAAGGAGACAGAAAATGCTTGTAAGGGTTATCTAGAAAAAAAATGGAAGAGTGTAAGACTAGTACATATCAGATGGAGATAAGCAGAACCACTTCAGCGTGCAAAGGAACTTAATCTGTAATAATTCTTCCTCCTATCTTCCAAATAACACATCTCATCCTTCAGTTAGCCACGAAGTACTGCAAAATATTTAGTCTAAAATAATTTGCTCATCTGGAGAAAGCTGAAGGTAAGTATCTTCTGATGACAGGAAAAGAGCACATCCAAATCAAACGGCAGGAAAACACCTACAAATATCATGTGTACCATTCAAAAGGGGAGCTAAGAATGTTCCTGTGGTTGGAAGCGTACTGAAATGTAAATCTCATTTTGCAGGGGAGCTGCAAAGTATCAGTGTGCCAAAGTTTCACCAGTGTAACTCAGAGATGTGGGGGTACATTCTAGGTGTGTGATCACAAATCAGTTTACTCTACAGACTGTGCTTGAACACCAATGGAACCAGGCTTTTTCCACGCCATACTGTTCAAAGGCAAGCTCAACAATTACATTTTTACATTCACTGGCCAGGAAGAGCCTGGCAATTATTCCTCAGTAATCATTTAATATTGCTGGCTTAAGAGGAATGTTTGTCTTTGCAACAGAAAAATCTCATTCCTCAAGAACAGTCTGAGTTGTGGAAATTTCTTTTCAGAAAGATCAACATGCCCTTTCAAGCAGCAAATTAATGAAGAATTTCTCTTACCTGGCTTGCAAGAGAGAGTATGAATGCCCAATCTTCCTGCCACTGCTCCTCTCGCAATGAGAAATGTAAACCAAAGCTTTGGGAATACCACGATTCCCAGTCTTTCCAGCGCGTGTAGAACCTAAAAAAATTGGGGGTAAGGGAGAAGGGAAAGAGAGAGAGAGAAAAAGGTAAAGGTCACTGCATGCCTGGTAGCAGTACCAGCCCTTGTACTCCATTAACCCAAATCTGTAAGGAATGGGAGAGGAAAAAAGAGCGTAAGGACAATAGATATCTATTTAGATCTGTGTGAGACTGCATTTTGCTAACCCTCATTTAAGAAATCACTGGGGATCACATACCTACAGCAAACACACCATAGTAGATACAAGCTCCTAAGAGGCTCCTCGCTCATTTGATACATTTATAATAGTTTTTATGAAGTCATATTTAGCCTTAACTGTTTTTAAGTGTTGATCTGCAGCAAACAAAACCAAGACATTCCATTTCATGTAAGGGAAGTTACCCATGCTTCTCATGCAAGCAACACAGATATTTTCTTCCTTTGCCACGCCATGTGCCAATGAACACCAAAATATATCATCTTAAAGCAGATTCTGCCTCCTAACCAGTCTGTTTGATGTCAGCTTCTGATCCAGAAAGTAAGGTAATGATACATGGAAAAGGTGTAAAACTGCACGGAATTAAAAGCATCAAGTACCAGAAAATACAATTGATCCTATATTTATTTATTTAAAGTCCTACAGCTTTAACTTCTGTTAAAAACTTGCATTTTATATGCTAGTTTACTCTCAGCGTTTTCTCTTTCTTAATCATCACAAAGAAAATTGTCTTACATATTCAGCAGCACATACCTACTTCTGAAACTTTTTACCTAAGAGAACCTGAGAGAAGTTTGATCCTATTGTGCTGCTTAACAGCAAACAAAAGTCAACACACAAACTATGAAATACTGTGAAAGTTTTCCTAGAGCAGCTTCTTGGGGTTAGCCATGTGTTCAGAGACATCACCCCACAGAAGGCTCTTCTGATAACCCTGCAGCAAGGCCTCAAGATCTTGATTTTGTTCAAGTTAACACAAGAGGAATGAATATATCTGTAAGCCAACTTACATTCTCCACCTAAAGCTAGCAATGGAATACAAAGAGGGAGAAATCAAAGTATCTGTCTGAGTAAACTGAAAAAAAAAGTGAAGGTGTTTAGATGTCAGTGAAGGACAACTCTGGGAACTTCACTGTCAAGCTGTTTCTGAGCACCAGACTGTCTCAACCACACACTTCCTTGTTCAGCATTTGAACAAACGTAACAAAATAACAAACGCTTCGATGTTCTGACTGAACTAAATTTGTTTTTAAGTACCTTTGTGAAGATTTTAGAGAGCAATTCCAGTAGATAACAAGGTATTATTGTTGAGACTCGTGATTGCAGTTAGGAGCCTATTCCTTCAGCAACCACCATTAAAGCCAGAGACAGCAGCATCCCTTCCTAAGTGCTACATGTCCAGCCCAAGAAGTTTGGAGTTAATAGCATCTTCCCACTCAACCCATGCAGCATGTATAGGATGTGCAGAATGATTCTGGCGCAGTAGAATTTCACTGTGAGTTCTCACAACCTCCATCTGGATTTTTTGAAAGGAATTATGGCTCAAGCCTGATGTATTATCACCACAAAAATGCCAGTTGACTCTTCAAGAACTTCCACCCAGAGGCAGACCATGTCCTATTAAGGATGTCGTTCTGCAGAGGTTTGTCTTAGAACCAGTGCTAATTTTTTTTAGCAACCAACCAGCAAATAAGATTACATAGACTGAAGGCAGGCAACAGCATTTAAACAACGATGGGGGGGCTTGTATTATATTTTAATCTGGTTTATATGGTCCTCACTGAAAGCACTATTAAGTAAATGCAGAGGAGAATACAGCTTCTGCACAGAACATGAACTAAGAAGATTAACCAGACTTAACATATTCTAAATAACGAGCATTTTGTTTGACACAACAGTCAACAGAAGTCAGCACTTACAGTTTGAAAGACTGGTTTAAAACTCAATCATCTGCAGCGTGTGTTTAGATACCATGCTTTGTCTTGTTACCATAAAGAACATAACCTGATCTATCATAAGTTGCTGTTCTGGCCTTAGTGGAACTGCCTGTGATGCCAGGGACATTCCTGCGTGGTTGAGATGCATATTCCACTATAAACAATTCTCAAGTAGTGACAGAGCTCTTTGGGAGACAGGATCCCAGGAAAACAGCTTGAGAAGCACCACATGACTGAATCCAGCTCTAGATACTAATTCTCTAAGTTTCAAGTCAAAACAGCAAGTAGCTGGGAGCAGCAATCACAAAATTTTCTTAGAGGTACCCCCGAAAGCAGCCTTTGTTGCCTTCCTGAGAAAGGGGACAGGCTTCCTCCCTACCATGCCAGCTGACAGAGCTTCTCTTGTCCTCGATGACAAGAACATATGAAATCTAATCTCCTGTGTCTTATATTAGCCTTTATCAATGCCCTGCTTTAGTCCCACTGCACACTTGAGCTGGCACAGACCAGCCAGGCTCTGACTGCAAATATTTCCCTTCCAACAGTGGCAAAATACAGTACTGGATTAAAGAAGGCTGCCAGTGTAAAACAGCAAAAGTTAACTCAGGAAGATAAATCACTTCTACAGCCAAGTGACAGCACTAGCTAAGTGTCACCACAGTGCTTTACTGCCATTGCTTTAGCAGACAGCACAGGAACAAAAAGCAGTACCAAGTAAAGCTGCAACTAAGCAGATAGAATGAAAATACTGAGAGGTGTATATAGGAATCAAAGGCTATTTTTCAACATAATTTTCTGCAAACTATTTCCCAACAGCAGGGAGATGGAGCACATGCACAATTTACGCTGCACGTACACAGAAATTCCAGTTTTAACTGTGGTCAGAACATGCTGACAAGCACACAGCACCAAGTATTTCACTTTGTTTTATGTGCTGCTGGGTGAAGATCGCAATCACTGCCGTCAGGATGCCCAACTTCCCAGTGCTTTGCATTTAAAAGAAGCTAGAACAGATCACCACGGGAATCACACTGACTCAACACTCTGGATCCACACAGTTGCGTTTATGTTGATTGGTTTTGCTTTGTTGGTTTTTTAAATACAGCTGTGAAAAGCTATCTGTAAGGGTGGCACAGGAACTAACTTACCAATGTGAGCAGTCATGTAAACTGTCGTGAAGGGCTTTCCGCAGCACTGAATCCTTGTCATAAATGCCCCAAGTGGCTTGCAGGACTGAATCGAGCAGGCAGTCCCCTGCAGTCCGATTCCAAAGTGCATATAATCTGCTGTCCAAGCGTGTACCCAATTCCAGTGACCAGTTGATAATAGGAGATTCCTCTTCGAGCTCTGTAACAAGAGGGGGTCTTGAAACCGAATTTGAAGTCTCAAACTGGACAGCATGTTAATAGTATAATCTCTATCTATTTACATGAACAAAGCTGTATTTTTGTCATACTACAAAGACAGGTGAAGTACAGCAGCTAAAGGCACTTGCTTCCTTGGGCTATATATACTGTCAAGAAAGAAAAATGTACACAAGCCTTAAAGAAACATCACGTCAATTGCTTTAGGATCACTGCTGAAGCAGAAAAATTGCTAGGTTTTCTGTGAAGAGCTTAAAGCTTTAGCTGTAAAGCTTTAAAAACACCCAGAAAACTTTAATGCAGAAGATGCATTATGAACATAACTTCTAAGACTTCATTCCTACCCTGCCTCTTGGACAGAATGGAAATATGAAACAAAATTTCAGAGTGGATATTAACACAGAACAGAACTTCAGGCAACAAAGCAACATATGCACACAGATCTACTTTTTAAAACGTATTTATTGAGATGAATATTCCTTAATGACAGGGAGAGAGACCAGTCAGGAGACTTTACCTTTCTGAACATCTCTATCAAGTACTTCATCAAATAGCTTTTCTTGGACTGTGGGCGGTAGGTCTTCAATATCTGGAGAAAAGGGAAGACAACATAAAAATCACTTACTACCTTAGGAAGAGACTCTACCAGCTGTTATTCAGGAGAATATACTGCCTTTATCCTACCATCCCTAATGCCTCCTCTGAAAAAAATAATTGTCACATCTACAGACTCTTGGAAGAAGAGATGCGGAAACACTCAACCAGGTTGTTCTAAGCAGCATTCTTACAATGCTGCTGCTTTCTAAAGATTAGTACAGTTTCCATCTACGCATTTTCTTATGTTTTGTAGTACTTCCAATCTTCAGTAACTGCTTCCTGTAATAGAAGTCCTCTCATAGATCCTTTTGTTAAGAGGCAGGCAGCTGAATGACAACATCTTGACTGCAGCGCACCTCTAAACATTACTCATTAAGCACTACTGCTATAAACAGGTACAAATCTAAAAGGGTCTTAAAGGAAAGGACTGGAAACTGCCTTAGCTATGAGACACATCACGTGAGAGTCCAGAAATATCCGAGCCCTGATCTTGGCACAGCCTTTCCTTACACGACTTGACTTTTCATCCATTTCCTCATGTCTGAAGAGGACCACACACTCACTTCACAAGGCTGATGCATACACCCAAGTGTGCAAAACCAAGAATTAGTTTGCAAACTCAACTACTTGGTCTAACCTAAATTGTTAAAAAAATAAAAAACACAAGTAGGCTTTACTTTTGTTGGACACTACTGCTCTCAAGAAGTCAACATATAGATCCCAAACAAGCAGTTCTCGACTAGGAGACAACAAACAACCAGAAAGAAAAAAAAAAAAAGAAAATGAAGCAGCAATAAGAGCTGTAGAACTACCTGCAGGTAACGTGAACGTGACAAGGTCAGTCAGAAAATAGCAAGCAAAGTCTCCTTTCCGCTGATGAAGAGATGCAGCAATCTCACGACGGATTTGTTCCGTGACCTCTGGACACACCATGGCAGGAATGCACTTTGCTGCATGTTGTGACACCTGCAACATAAAGCAGCTATGCCCTCAGTGTTGTTTCTAGTTAAGTAGTGAGACTTCAGAGTGATAACCATCGGAGGAAAGTATTTTATTAGGAGGTGATGCAATGAAAGCTAAGTATTGATGCTCTGAAAGATGCAACACACAGTCACATACCGTGAATTATCTCCAATTTAGCATGAAGCTGATAACAAGCCTGGTTAAAATTCGCTTTGAATCACAGAAATGAATTAACAGACAACCGTTTCCAGCAGGAAAATGGAGGCAAAAATGTAACAGAGAGAAAGACACCTCAAAACTGATACATGAGCCCAGCCTACACTTTGCATTAAACTTCACTACCACCACACAACAGTTTCCTAGGGAGAAATTTCCCAAAAGCTATTAAGGCAAGACACCTAAATGCCTCTGCATTCAATTGGTAGCAGAAGGAGCTCATTCAGTGATGCATGGCAAGCAACATCGGGATGACTGGGTATGTAAACAAAGCTTTGTAAGACATTTGCACCTGTTAACACCTTAGCAAAAGAGGGCATACAGTGTAGCTCAAACACTATTAAATACTTCCACAAATGCCATGTTGAATAAATATTTCTAGCAGGTGAAACAAAAACAAACAGGCAGCATTTCAACAAGTCAGCTTTTGAAAGAAAAAGTTTAACTCCATTCACACAGATAACTCTGTGAGCCACACAGAAAGCACTGATATTAGCCATATAGAAGCATGCACGCTTTTCAAGACTTCTGTCCCATTTGTCTTGCTTTATTTACTGTTTAATTACTCAACCCTATGCATTCCATCAGTCTCCTGAGCTTCTTCTCAGCAGGGCACTCTTCTCAAGAATGCATGCTTCAAAATTGCAGTAAGCACCAAATTAGGGAGGCAGGCAGACTAGAGGCAGAGACAGAATAAAAACTGCTCTCATCAGGCAAGAAAACAAGTCTGAGATGACAAAAAAGATAAAGATGTGGGCCTTCTAAGAGGGAAGGATTACCAGAAGTGAGGTGCTCCACACAAAAACACTGAAGAAAATGGAATGTTCAAGAGCAAGGGGACAGAGGACCCAATGAGCCTACGCACTGGGGAAGAGTGGGAAAATGTCACCATACTGCAAAGCAAGGAATTTGCTTTTCTCCTAGAAGCTCCCAAGAATCTCAGGAAAGAAAGAAAAGGGCAAATCATTGCCAGGTAGATGTATCTGTTAACAAAACTCTGAAAAATTAAGCTGTCATTGAGCTCACTGTTCTGCCCTCAGGACATTTCCTCTCCCCCACCCAAAGCACAGGAAGCCCCACAATAGCTCACTTCCACCACCAGTGAGGTCAGAACTTTTGCCAGGACTGCACGATTTAATAGGAGAACCTCTACATCCTCAGGACCACCACACACATACAGCCTTACAGCAAACTCACCTCACAGGGAGAAGCAACAACAGAAGAAATGCAGCGATTCATATATTCTAACAACAGTGTCAACCAGCAAATGAAGTTACATGTCACTGGCTGCAAACAATGGCACAGTTACATAAGGTTCCTATGCAGTCTGTGCAACAGCCCAAGCAGCTCACCTCTGTAAGCAGAATTGCTAGCATGTCTTGTCTCTGGAAGCGGATTGCCAGATGTACAAGTGTGTACCCCACATCAAAAGCAGACGGGCGATTCAGCAGGCGTACTTCATCAGCACTGAGCTGGCGGGCAATATCTCCTCCTGATGACTTGTAGGCCTCAACAGCAGCTAAGTCACCTTCTACAACTCCTGAAGAAAAGAATATTATTCATTCTAGATAGCAATTAGACCACTGTAGAGCAAGCTACCTTATGTGGCTTCTCAATATATATCTAATGTGAAGATCATTGCATACCAGCAAACATTCAGGTGACTTTATTTTTTTAAACAAGAAAAGAAACACACTCACACTTACCTCACCTCCTGGACTATTTCCACTACCCAAAATAGCTGGAAGGTGCGGCAGACTGAAATCCAGCTACCAAGAAGTGCTAAGGACCCTTCTGCTAGGAAACACCCAGCATAACATACCCACTTATTTGTTGAACTGTACTGAAGGAAGTTCATTCATTGATACTGCAGAGATTCCTCTACTGTACTTTTCCTTCTTCAAAACACATGACCAGACTTAAGAAATAGAATCACTAAAGCACTGTCCAAGTATGGTTTAGAACAGTGCTGAAAGAGGATACAGGACACAATTTCTCTTCAGCTCACTCTCTCTGCTACTGACTGGACCTACTTACCATTCAGTTATCTTTACTTTCTTTACTAATTAATAATAAAGAGAAACCACACACATAGTGCATCAGCTCTGTGTGGCTTAGGTTTCTGAAGTGAGACAGGTGAAAAATCCCTACCGTCTTCTGGAGTCCCCAGGATCCTAACTGCTGGACCACACTTCACATCATAACCATTCATGCAGAACACATTCCTCAGCTGCAATTAGCAGGATACAACATCAAGGTGTGGCGGTGTTATATTTAACAACAGTGGTTCCAATTCAACACATTACAGTCAAAGGCATCTTATTTTAGACAGCTCACATTGCTTTCTTACAAAGCACAGACTGAAGAAACAGAAAAGTAACCTTAAAGCCATTTTTAATAAAAGAATCACAGAATGGCCTGGGTTGAAAGGAGCACAATGCTCATCCAGTTCCAACCCCTGCTGTGTGCAGGTCGCCAACCAGCAGCCCAGGCTGCCCAGAGCCACATCCAGCCTGGCCTTGAATGCCTGCAGGGATGGGGCATCCACAGCCTCCTTGGGCAACCTGTGCCAGTGCCTCACCACCCTCTGGCTGAAAAACTTCCTCCTAATATCCAACCTAAACCTCCCGTCTCAGTTTAAAACCATTCCCCCTTGTCCTCTCACTTATGCTCAGGACTGAAGTTTGAACAGACAAAAAAGCAGATGAATATTTTTGGAAGTCTATCATCCTCTAATTCAGAGATTAGAAAGATTTGAGGAAAGGGTGCAGAGGGAAAATGGATAACCAGGGCAAGATGTGTCTCAATAGGTAGAACTAATTCGATAAAGCCTCTACAGCTGAATGTTAAATTATTCAAGGGTAATCACAAGCAACAAATCCAACTGCAAAGTCCAGTCACAAAACTTCTGCCACTTCATCAAAAGTCATATTATTTCAATGAAAGAGCTGCTATTGATGGAGCAAAGCTACTTCAGCAGTGGGAAAGAAGAACACAAAGTTCACTGCTCAATTTCAAGACTCTCCCTAAAACACATGTCACAGAAGCATGGTATGGGATATATGACCAGCACAGCTGTGCTCCTGTTACATTTCTGCTTCCAGGTAGAACTGAGCCATTCCAAAGGAAGAGGTAAGAGCTCTGTCAACGCATGCCGCATCCGTAACAAGAACGTCAAGTGTGGCATCGTATTTCCAAAATGTTCTTTCAGCAACAGATAATAAGACCCAACAATTCCCAGCAGCCTCAGTCAGCCAGCCTTGCCAGGTACAGGCTGCACAGCAGCATCTACAGCCTTCAGACAGTGCCAAGGCATACCCTACTTGTTAGTGTTCTAAGCTACAGCAACAAGCAAGCTCAGCCAAACCTTAGCAAGAAGCAGTGCTGGGAGGCAGCCACTGGAGGCTGTGCAATGCTGCAAGTGAGCAGCAGTAAAGACCCAGACCAGCACCATGCGCTGGGCACAGTACTGCCAGCACTTGCAGTGCACTCACAATACTTGGCATGCCAAGAAGTGCCAGTTGTCATTTAAAGAGTACGTTTCTAATCTCACTGATGAGATTTAAGCAATGCACACATCAATAGTGCATTCCATATATGCTTTCTAGGCTTTATTTTTTAAAAAAAGGGAGGAGGGTTGTAAACGTGTGATAGATTGGCAGCACTTTAACAGAAGAACAGTATCGTGTCCTACATGCCACCTCAAGCTGGCACTGACAGCTGTGGAGGAGTGGTGATGCGCAAGCACTAAGTCTGGCCGTCCTCTGTTCTTCCACCCAGTCAGCCAAGTGAATATGGAAAAGAAAAAAGAGAAAAAGTGGCAGCAGCTCTTTTTTAGCACAAATCCAGGCAAGCTGTTCCATGAGATTACTAGCAGTGCTGTAATGGAGTCTCCTCAGATAAACATGGCACACAAACCATGCAGAGCTTGCTTCACAGCGCTTTCCCTGCAGAGCCCATTAGGAGCCTCTCCTTACAAGAAGCATGCTCTTGAAAACCTGCTGTGTGCCCCTATGTCCAGTGCTCATCTGCACCAAAATACTGCAATCTGGATGCCCTGAGCATCACTACAGCAGAGCCTGCTCCGTGGCCATTACAAACCCCAAACACCTAGTCCTTTCCAGCTGTTCTGAACAGGGAAAATGGCTGACAGCTCACCAGGTGCCAGTCACAGCAATCCAAGGCTGCAGTGAACCCCAAGCAAAGATGCAGCAGCTCCCAAAACAGACTGACAGAAATCTGAACTGAGAAGTGCCACCTCACCCCAAAACCAGGGAGCAAAGCTGCCTACATGCAACACTCATGAGAACCATCTGCAGTTCTTGAAGCCTGTACCACCACACCAAAACGAGTCCTTAATGCCAGTAGGAGGCACATTCCTACAAGGGTTTTGGTCTCTCTCAGATGGATAGCCTCCAATTCATTACCCATTTACATAGAGCCCAACAAAACACTCTTTTCAAGAAGTATCAGAGAAGTAATTACTGATGTTCTAACTCACTTCTTTTCATAAAGCACAAGTGCCCCATTACTTACACAAGCACTCTCTGAACTGCTTTCTGATGCGGTGCCACGCCAGTTGGACTATTCCCCACTGACACCCACTGCATTCCTCATACTGTTAAAATGTCAGAAGTGAGAGAGGCAATTGCCTTAAGACTGTACACACAGCATCCCCAAGCCACACTTCTTGCTAGGGCATTGTCCTGAATATTCACAAGAGCAAGCTGATCCTTACAAGAACTTTCTCTTTGAAACACATCCAGAAGAGGTGGTGTGACACTACAAACTGCAGACACTGGTCTGTGCCCCACCATGCTCCCCTCCTCCCTAAATCCACACTGCCTTAACTGCACAGCCTCAGTGACCACCTCAAAACCACCTGCTGTAAAAGTTTCCAAGAAAAAAACCTATAGCAGCTGTGTTCATTCACCTCAGTACCTTCGTGGAGAACACCAGCTGGTACAGCTTGCAAATAAAGTAACTCAACTCCTTCCAATACACCTCTGCAAACAAGGGCAGAGAATATTAACCCTCACTTTAAACCACATTATACACTTGAGGAGTCAGAAGTAGAGACAGAGCCCTTACTGACATCCAACAGACAGAAACGTGGAGACCTGTGCTGCTCACCTCCTGCTACAGATACAGCTGTGACGTGTTAACATCACAGACGTGATTTACCCATCCATGCTCCACAGAAGGGGTCACACACACCACAAAACAGCATGCTGACAGCCCTAAACCCAGCTCTGACACCTGTTTGAAGCCTTACTGTCCCTCAGTCAAAGCACTGAGTGCAAGGAGCTGTGGTTTGACCAAAGCAGCAGAACTGTACTCTGCAGCTCCAACTACTTCAGGGCACATTGGGTGGTCACAAAGATTTCACAGCAATGCCATATTTCATCATTTTGAGCAGCGAAAGCTTGCAGGCAGAGAGGAATTTTCTCTTCTTAGAGGAACGACTCCTTCACAAGGGCATATGGAGCTTCACACAAATTAATAAAAAGAAAACAGGGATTGTTTGAAAAGCCTTTAAGGGCCTCTAACCACATCCTTCTGCTCATTCTTCTCTTTCCTTGTTTCCAGGACCTCCCTCCTCAGCACTGGCACACAGTCAGCAGCAGAACATTTTGCTAATGACAGTTTGAGACACAACCCTTCCATACAGTGCATTTTTTGAGTTTCTCAAGCTCTGCAACTTGCATCAACGTCAATAACTACCTTCCAAAAAATGCACATATTTCAAACCTGATGCCAGCCAACAGCAGTATGCTGGAAAAAAAGTAATGACACAATCAAACAGCTTTCCCATCTCCAAGCAGGCCACACACTGTGCTTCCAGCACCTTGCTACAAGGCAGAGCAGCACACACACAGGTGGGAGCTGTTGGAAGAGATCCCTGCCATCCCCTCTCCTACCTGCCAGCTGTCCCCAACCCCACGCTGCCCTGATGGCCGATCCCTCACTTGCACACTTGTGCCCTAAAAACAGAGAAGCATGCATGATTTTAAAGTTAACAACGCATGTTTCCAAGGCAAATTTAAATAAGTATTTTTAACTTGATTACTTATTCAAATATTTTCAGCGTAAAACACCACAGAGTGTTTAAAAGGAGTCTAGAGACTGAAACAGATGTACTTCAGGAGCTGAGGTTTACTGGCAAGAAGTAAGGAACAAAAAGTTTTACACTCATGGACAGATCTGCAACAACAGCACTGATATGCATGCACACACACAGCCAGTTAGAACATATATATGCACAAACCAGGGAGCTGCTTTTCCAGGTGACAGTGGCATGCTTACATCACTGTACCCTGGCACAGCAGTACGCATAGTGGGGAAGGAGGACAGGCTGTACAGCTCTCAGCAGGGCCTTCCCCCTCAGTCATCCCACAGCACTGCTTGCCACATTTAGCAGAGGCCAGCACAGCAGGTAATCACCTGAATTAGTCAGCCACTAACTCATGCTACACTTCCCCCAAACACTTCAAGAGAACCTAAGCTGACACAAGCAGAGCACAAGGCATGACCTTTCCCCACCTCCAGCAGTCCTTCTCCACCCATATGCTTCCCACTTCCTTGTTACAGGGCTGACAACCCACACACAGCAAGGTTTAGCTGTGCCATGAATGTGATGTGACAAGGAAACCGGTCCCTGCAGGACGCTGGGCTGGAGGCAGCTCTGTCCTGCAGCTTGGCACAGCCCTGTAAACACCACCTGAATGCAAACAGAGTCGCTCTCCTTTCCCACAGGGCTTGGGGATGCCTGGCTAACAGATCTGGCATCGTTTCAGACAACATGAGAGAGAATGACAGAGGACAAAAAAAAACCTACAAGAGAGATAAAGTAGTCGACAAAGAAAAAACTACGCAGACCTATGTAGGAATATTAGGAACAAGCTAGCAGTCCTTTTAAGGATGTACTGCAAAACAAGATTCATTACAGACCGCTCTAAGTATTTTTGGATTTGTTTAGGAAACACACTCAGTTTTTTCCTTCAGGCGGCTCAGAAGAACGCAAGCCTGGTTGGTTTTGGAGCCATCCTCCTGCAGCAAAGCCTGCCCACAACAGCAGCTACCTTGCCTGGAACCTGAGCCTGGAAAGCAGGCTCTCCTGCAGCAGTTAGTAAGCAGGATTGGAGGAGAAAGAAAACAGTTCACCCCTGATCTGTGAGCTACAGTTCAAAACCTGGAACGTGCAACTCAGGAATCCCCCCCAGTGCCCTGCAGCGACCACACTGCACCGTGCAGCCCAGCCTCAAAGCATCAGGAGGGGAATCTCCAGCAAGCACTGAGCACCAGCCCCAAACAACTCTGAGTGTTGGGAGCTGGGACAGCCTTCCTCCATTTGTACTACTAAAACCCAGAGGCAGCTTTAACTAGGCACTCAAACCAGCTCCACCCAGCCCTCCAGCAGCACTACTATGCTGAAATGGAGCACCAGTAAACATGCATTAGCTTTTCTTCCCTCATCTCCCTGCACTGATCTGGCATTAAGGCCAATACAGAAAAGCACCTGTGCTCCTGCATCACAGCAGTTGCACTCCTAACATTCTGTACAGCCTGTGTCTGCAAGAAATAGTAGCCTTGATGGTATATTTAATGAGAGGCAGGGAAAGAATTAGTGGATACCTCCAACAGTAGTTGAAGACAGCACACATTCTTCTAAATCCACAAAACAAGGTACACATCTACAAGTTTCACCCAAAAAGAACAAATGTGGGAAAAAAAAAGTAATTTTATATTACAGTCAAGGAAATGAAATTAATTAATCAAGTGGTTTAAAGTACCACATGTTATCATTGGTATACTCAAAAGATGCCATCTAAGAGAAAAGAAAAGCACCAGTTTGCCAAGAATTACTCCTACTCTTGCTCCTCTAATTTTTATTTGTGACATCAGGAAAGCCACAGCTCGTACATCCAAAGATGCTGAAGTGATCCATCTCTCCCACACACTTACAGCAATGGGACCCCCCAGCTGTGGGTGCAGTGTGAAGTTACCAAGCCCTACCAAGCCATTACTCATCAGCTGGACTATGCCAAGTCAACATCCTGACTCTTCCTCCACCAGCTTTCAGCAACCCACTTGATATTTCATACAGACTTGTCAGTTTTTAGATAAGCAGTTACAAAATGAGAACAAGTGTTCGGCTCAGCTAGAAAAGAGCTTCAGCCAGCACACAAACAATAATTCACCAAATCACAGTAACTCCATTGATTCCAATGGCAAGAACAGGCACTCCAGAGATTATTCCATCAAGAGTGACGTTGCTTTAAGCACATCACACTAAGGTAACTGAACAACTACCATAAATGTGACTTACTGCATTTAAAACCACTAGGTGAGCTGGCATGCAGATATGCTCAACACCCAGAGACTGCAGCAGAAAAGCTGCAAAGCTTCAACAGCACGCTTAAGGTTATTTCCACTGCCAAGAACACTTGGGAAAAAAATGACATTGGTGACAGGAAAAAAAATTATTTCCCAAACCAAGGATTGATTATTAACAGCTTTTGGTGCTGTTCAGGTGTGTTGTTGTGTGTTTGGTTGTTTTTTTTTCCTTAGCTCAAAAGGAAAAGCACTGTCAGCTTTTAAGTTATAGAAGGAACCCAAGGACTCTTTCAGCAGAACACTAGCAGAATTCACAGCTCTATTTGCATTCTGGTTTTCTCATCAAGTATCAGGATACTTTCAACCTACTTTCAAACTGTCTTCATTATAGAAGAACTAAATCATTACTGCCCTACGGATAGCTTTTAGTTTTGTATGCAAACTTACAATCACAAGCAACAATGAATATAAACAAATGTAAATGAATGCACGTTCTTAAATATAAGCTACAATCATGTCCACACAGACCAAGTTTGAAAATCAAGATACTTTCTTTAGTAACATTGAAACAGCCAGAAAAAAGGTCTGTTCAAAAAGCAGAGGAAAAAAACCATTACAGTGGATACAATCTATGTTAGAATACAAGATTGGTACTGCTGAGCCCCACGAATGACCTCCAAGGACTGATGTTGGGTATTCCATAACTTACAAAGTGTCATACAGCACTTCGGTTGCTTCATTCCAGGAACAAAATAAAAGGCTCTCCATGTCTGCTAGCACGTCAGAAGCTTAACACACCAGGTAATAAAGGCATCTAGCCACTAGCAAAATGAAACACATCCAAGCTATTTATGCAACAAAGAAGTGGAGTATTTAATTAGCTCACTAAAACCATACCCATGATAGCTGCAACAACATTCACACCTGACCAAATATATGAAATAACACAGCTCCACATATCAGTTTTTCAATTACATCAACATGAAGTGATGCTGCGAGACACACCATTAATGCTGCAGCTTCAAACAGAGTGTTTTACCCTAAAAATAGTTGTCTATTTCAAGTCTTGAATCTGCTTGTACGCTAGGGTACAAGGTATCTGCTTCCAGGAAGTTACAGCACAAAAGGTAACTCACAAGGTCAATAACTGGAGAAAACCCTGCTCTCACAAGTCTCTGATCTTTAACAGCATTGGGAGAATTATCCAGAATTTCTTCAGGAAAGCATTAAGATACAAAACCAATTTGGATTTTTTTTTTTTTTTTTAAGCAGTTGACTACAAAAACATTTATAACAGTATGCAACATTATTACTTTCAAGGTCAGTATTACACATGCAGTTACTTGGAGCTACATATTTTAGTGTTATTTTTAACATCTGACAGAGCATCTTGTACTGTTGTGAGCTCTACACTGTTTACAAATACTCCCAAGCTGCAGCTGCTGCTTCTACTAGCATATCTCACCATTGCAAAGAGAAGAGTGCTTATAAATATCCAGTAAAGGTTATTTTTTTTTTTTAAATTTCATTCCTTTTAATATAGTATTACACAGATTGCAATGTTCTATAGATTGGTTTCATAGTTTTTCCACAACAGAACAACAGCACTCTGCTACAATGATATCAATCCCTACAGAAGGACAAAAACACCCAAAGAGCCACAGAACACATCTAACTCTGGTCAGTTCATGCATCAACTCCACACCATTCTCTGTGAACTGCTATTCCAGGTTTGCTCTTTAAAATTAAAACACAAAGATTCACAAAAGCTGTTTCAAAACCAAACGACACATTTGTTCTTAAATACTTTGTTCTCCCAGAACACCACACCACAGGCACTAATTGTGTAAGGCAGTAAGGAACAACTTACCGACACAAGCGTTTAGAAACAGCCAGTCAGTCTTTTTCATCCTGTTTTTTATTTGCTTTAGTTTTTTGAAGTCAACTTCGAGTTCCTCCTTGCTGCCAACAGCTCCAGCCAACTCGATTCTTTGGAAGTCCATTTTCACATCCGACTCACGTTTGGTTGTAGGTGGGGATCTTCTTTGGCTATTACCACTACTACAGCTTCCCCTCCACCGAGCTCTGTCTTGCTCATTTATGATTGAAGAAGCCTCTTCAGTGTCTGCCAGTTCTATTGCTTCTATGTTGTTAGGTCTGGGATGATCACACACAACGCATTTCCTGGCCTTTGCCCAGTTTTCATATGTACAAACAGAACAAGTCCAGTGCTGAGCCCTTGTGTTCAGTTTATTTCTGTCATTGTATTCCTCGCACGGATCGACAGAAAAAGGAACTGGTCTCGAACCAGACCCTGAAGACTGAGGAGACTCTGTGGGACTCCGGGTCCTACGCTGAGACAAGCACTGAGTACATCTTATCGCTCTTGGCCAGTTCAAGTACGTGCACATGTGGCACGACCATTTATTTGCACTTTCCATACTGTAGGATGATTTAACCCTTGGTCTTGCACTGGAATCCGGACATATCAAAGGACTACTCCCACCTTCAGTACTTGTAGGATCCCAGTCTCGACCAATATCACTTGAACCACTTTTAAATGGATCTTCTGTGATAATTGTTCCACTAGGCCTCTGGGCACGGCACATGGTACATTTGATTGCAGATGGCCAGTTTTCATACGTACAATACTCACAAGCCCATTTAATTCCACGCTCTGTCATCGTGCACTCCTTGAAATGAACTGCGTCAGGCAGAAAGCTAAGTAATCACAACACATCATTAGTACACAATAACTGCACACAAACCCAGTTCAGGGAAAAAAAAACCAAAACACACAAAAGCAACAAAAAGTCCTCAAAAAACCCAACTGATGTGCATTGCACCAAAATGTATGAAAGTCAAGCTGGGCAAGGGGACAATCTGTTTTTCCTTCATACTATGAGGACACTGGCAGGAAGTGCTGGGAGGAGCTATGGCAAGGGTAAGACTTGAGAGTCAAATGACTAATACTCAAGCCACTTAAATGCATAACTGAGGACTTCCTAAATGCAGGAAAAGAACCTTAGTCATGCATTTCAAGAATTTCTTAAATTTGAGCAGTGCCATCTAAAAGAAATTCTGAAAATAGACAGACATTGAGCACAGCCAGTAAGTCTGCAGAAAGAAGACACAAATATTAAACTGCTGAAATAAAACAATGAGTGCAGCAGTATAAGGAACAGAGGGCTGAGATCTCTACTGCAGCAGTCACAGGACTTGGAAGGAAGAGGCATGTCAGATGGGCAGCTATACAAACAAGCAGTTCTTCTGTAGTAGTAAGGTACAGGTTTACATAAAAGCATACACCTCAAAATTTCACATGTGTTTAACCAAGACTAGGGCTTGATTTGACACACTTATAACAGCAGTGCTATGAGGTTAAAGCCACACTCAAAAGCAAAGCAAAGCTATGTGTGATAAACCAATCCAGTACTTTCATTTTACAACCCAGATTTCAATCCAACTCACTTTTTCTCTAATGAAGAGGAGATCCTGTCTTCATGCTGGCTCAGACCTTTTCCTCAGATTGCCAAATATGAAGGATGAGACTAAGCAGATAACTATTCCTGTAAACAGAATGAAAACAGACTCATTACAGGTTTCCTACTGGACTTGAGTAACCATAAAGTTAATTATTAAATGCCACACCTATTCTGATCCCAATTCGCATGCTTGAACTCAGTCACGGCCTGCTAAGGCTAAGCTACAGACTAGCATAAATAAGTCAATATTTGGAAAGAACCAGTCACCAGGAAAACGATCAGTTAATCTCCTAAAGAACCAGATCCAAGCAACATCAAATTCATATCAAGATGTCTGTAAACATCCTCAGTGGAATGTGAAACTTAGGATGGAGAGGAAGAAATCTCAACCCCCTCCAGTCAGCGTAGAGAGCAAATGGGATAAAGGTTATATGGCAGGTAGGCAGAGGATAAACAGAGAAATGCATACCATCTATTTCTTTTCTTACTACAGTATTGCTATGCAACACCAACAACTCAGTAATATACTATTCTGAAGCACGCACAACTGTCTGGAACAGGAATCTGTTGTATCAATTGACCAATAATTCTCATGTTCACCACAGTAAAACCCTCCTGGTTAGTGAAAACACTATGAGTATGGTAGCACAAAAGCTCAAACAAAGATGCACAACAGGATCAAATTCTAATCTAGAAAAACGAGGTACTTTATACCTTTTCTCCTGCCAGGAAATGCTTGACCAGTTAGTACATTCGTCACTCAAATACCTTCACAAGCACCATCATCTATCAAGGCACAGTTACACGTCCACGGCCACTGGTCAAGCCCCATGCTGCTGGGAGAGGCACAGCAGCACTCCTTTCCCCAAAGCCATACCCTCACTGTGCCCTCCTGTGGATTCCAGCACACAGCAACACTTTGCCTCAACAACTCGAGCCTCATCTATTCAGCAGCTCAGGCAGCTGTGCCAACAAGCACCTATCACACAGCTGGGACAGAAAGGGGACAGCACTACTGAACCACCAAGCTTTTCCAGAAAGCTCTGGCTCTAACCCATCTGAGCAGCCTGCAGAATACCTGAGTTCCACCTATGTGCTGTAAAACTGTCAGACTAGGAATGTGCTGAGAAGGCAATTAAGTTTCCTGCTGATTTCCTCCAAGATTTGCTCAAAGTTCACATATGAGAGTGGAAAATTAAAAGCAGTCAGATCATACTACAGCCCCATAAAATAAGGTGGGAAGAGGAGGGCGTTACCATAACAATATGAAGTCAATGCTACTGAAGGCAACTTATTTAAAGACAACTTTTCAGAAGCTTGGAGAGGAAAAAACACCACAAGCTGTTTCTCTACTCCAAAGGCAAACTAAAGCCTTGCCAAAATAGTTTCAAAACATACACAAGACTTAATGATAGAATAGATTAATTCCATTTGGTCAATAGCTTTCTTACCCATTCACCAAATTGGCTTTTTTAAGGACTAACATTTCTTCAAGCTTATTCTCTGTACCAACAACAAACGTAATGTTTCCTTATGAACTTGAGAGAACTGAACACGCTTTTGAGAATCCCAATCTCCCAAGTCAGATTGGTGCCCTACATGAAATGAAGCCTGAGAGAAAACTGCAGATGCCAACAGAGCCCCTCATCTGGCCTGGTTTGTAAAGCCTTAACCCTGCACTTCCCACTGCAAACAAATCCCAACAGAGAACAACCTCGTGCTGGCAGTGAGGCTGGGGAAGAGAGACTGCTGCTCCAGCTGAAAGGGACTGGCCACAGAAGTGATCTAGAACATCTTATTTTATGATACCAACTAACACAGTACACGCCGTGTTACAGAAAAGCTTTCGTAAGTACCATGAGAATAGAGAATAATTGTAGCTGAAAACCTAACATCAGCTTTTGTTTGAAGATTTTCACGTAGCTGGAAGACGGGGATGGATGCCACATTGAGTATTATCTATTAATACCAATACAGAAAGCTCCACGTTTTCAGACACAGCTCTTAAGAAGGCTGAGTGTCAGCAGCTTCAAAAGCTTTTGATACCAACCCCTACAGCACAGTCAGAAGAGAAAACGAGCACTTTCACAGGTGGGCTCTTACATCTTGGTATGACCTTCAGCTGCACCTCCATGCCAACACCAGAACCATCTGCTCTGCTGGCAATACTGGAACACCAGCCAGTCACCGAGCAGGCTGAGCACTAATATATTTTTGCAGTTACTTCTTTACCCCCCTGCCTTCAAGTGAGCCTGTTATTTCAGATTCTTCCCAGAGGAGAAGCTGAATCACACAGCACCTCCTCACAGAGGAATAGCACAGCAGTGCTATGAGGCCCAAGTGCATGCTTTCATGCCCAAAAAGCACGAGCAGGCAAGGAATTAAAAGCTATACAATTCCCAACAAGCTCCAATTGATCAGTAAGAGCAGGAGGCTAAATGCATTTGGGACAGACTAGTACAGTAATTTAGTATATTAGAGAGAACAATATTAATTTATTATAAATCAGATCCTAAAAAAATCAATTTTATGAAAAGTTATTCCGGTACAGTCAGTCATTTATAACAAATAATCAGAAAGCTGCCTTTGTTTTTTTTTTTTTTTTTTTTTTTTTTTGCTTTGTTTCAACTTTCAAGAATGCTCCTTGCTTAGGTGCTTAGGGAAGTATAAAATGACACGGGGAAAAAAAAAAGCTCTGAAGTCTTAAAATATATGTATTTTTCATGATAGGATGGAACTATCTTCCCCTGAATACAAGTCAGATCTTTACAGCAGCCAGAGGATAGTTTTCCTTCAGCTCAAGCGAGGCAGAAGGCAGAGCTCCATGCTGCTTGGTGGGCAAGCCTTTCCCAAGCAAGAGGCCAGCTGCTGCTTCAGCCCATACTGCTGATCTCTTGCTGGGGTTTGCCAGAAGCACATCTGTGCTGGTAACCTTACAGAATGAGACTGATCAACCTTCCCACCTTAACTTGTTGCTCACGAGTAATGAGTTCAGACAGAGCTCAGCTTGCTCCGTATTTACAGCACAAAGCAAGGTACAAAGCTACACCTTCAGTACAGCTACAGGGGGCTGCCTCAGTGCCTCAAGGTCAGGCTGCTTTATTCAGTTGTATTTCAGAACACCATGGAGCAACTCCTGAATGCCACTGAGTGTGGATGCTACACCTTACACACATCCAACCACAGAGAGGAGTGGGGAGAAATGGGGCTGTGAGTCAAAGCAAGAGATCAAGCTGCACTTTCCCTGTCTGTACCTTTTCTGTGTTGTGAAATGTGGCACTTAAATGTATGTCTGCTAAGAAAGCCTCAATCTGAGGGCTGTAATTGTTAACTAACAGCTGGAAAACATTGCTGTGAAGTTTATATATAAACACGTGTTAACATACGAAGGAAAAAACAGCTTTTAAGGAATAACTGCTTAAGATTAACTCTGCATAGTTTGACACACAGAAACATTCTCCTTTTTACATCGCTGCCTCAAATTCTTCCTTGGTTACCAATAAAACAATGGCTACACTTCCTAGAAAGCTGAAGTGCATTCATATACAGGTAAGATTCCCATCTAAAGCTGCCACATACTTGGATTATCACCAAAAACTGTCATGATTACATACATATTACTCTGCATTCAGGTAATTGCAGCTGTTCTTGTTGTGTAAAACTGCATAACACACACAAAAGCAGCACACATGAAGAACTGCGGTCCACAGCTCCCAAGGGGAAGGAATCCAATGGCTCTGATCTCACCCTTTACCAACAAAGGCACCAACACTTACAAATGCTGCCACTTTGTTGCTCACTCCAACAGGGACATCTCCTTAAGTTCGCCTTAACCTGTACCAAGGGACTCTTCAAAGGCCAGTTTGTCTCTTTCTCAAACTTGTAAATTTACTGAAAGTCTCCTCAACCATTTCCTACCTCAGACACTCTCCACTTTCTGTGTTACAAGTTTACTTTCGTTATTTGGGTCCAAGAATCCTTGTGGGGAAAAAAAAATTTACACTGTACACTTAGAGAAAATATGTTCTGAAATGGATTGCTAAGTATCAAAAACCATTTTTCACATGAAATTTGCCTTTGGTTGACTTTTTAAGGGGGAATTTTACTGTCAGTTTCCACTCTTACTTCATCACTTACTGTTATGTTCTTCTTTTCCCCAGCACTCCACCTTCAGCTATCTGCTACTCCTGCACCAGTTTTCCCATGTGTTCACAATGAGGCTCAACAAATGAGAGCACAACTACCCCAAAACAAAGCTCCAGGGAACGAACAGTGGGTTCCATTGTAGTCTCTGCAAATTAGTTTATAGAAAAGGAAAGACAAAACAGAACCACCACACTGACCTTGACAGTGGGATAACCATATCAGGTCAGCATTGAATATGGACGCTCAGCAATGAAGGCAATGACTACATATTATAATAAAGAACAAAAGCATTACTGCAAAGTCATAAATGCAGGAGCACTTTCTCTGTTAGCCTGAACACACTAACACATGTACTGCAGCAAGCATGCATAGTTTCTTTTGGTTGTTAGCATGATTCTTGAAAAATGAAGATGTCTCAGATCAGCAAGAAGGAAATCTTGCACCATCTTAGGAAAAGAGCAGCACAATGCATTTTTGCTGCTGCTCCAGGGCTGCTTTAGCTTACAACATCTGTGTTCCTCTACAGAACACAAGCAGGCTATTGGCAGCACAGGCAGTCAGAACAGGTCTCGGGCTACCACAGCAGAAAGCCCCTTCTGATATAAATGGATACCAGTAAGAAATGTTGGGACACAAAGGCCTTCGATGAACCTTTGGCTTTTTGGCATCGTCCCTCCCACCTTCACCCCAATCTCCACTACACAAATGCCAACACCATCAATGAAGTACATCAGCAGTACAAAAGACATGAAAAACTGGAAGCGTTCCACTCGTAACTGAAGAACTGCTTGCAATCTAGTACGTGAAAACTTCTGTTCTGGCAGTCCTGGCTGGCAGCTGATACCCTAGACTGCAAGCTCTCAGTGTGACCTGCAGACCACTTCTTATCTACTCCTGTAGAACACACATTAAAATCCAGAAGGCCCTGCTCTTACACA